TCAGTCTCATCAGTCTGTTGGTCTTCAGCTCTCACCGTCGCCCCAAAACTGGATGTTGAGCCAGCCCGGTCGTGGAACCACACCCCAGCGTTTGGAGCAGTACAGCCTGCGGTCTTCCTCAGTGAAAGGCATCGGAGGAAACATGTCTGTCACATTGTTGCTCTCGTAGCATAGCTCGATCTCCGTGCATGCCTGCAACGACACAGACGCAGGTTCATCAACATCAGAAAGGATGATATCCAGTTACTCACAGTTAAAATGATCTAAATCTAACTGTAGTACTGCCTCAGGGCGTCTTCTGCTCTGTTATTGGCATCAACAATTCCACAAATTGTTTCTTTTAAGATCCATGTTTACATGATTCAAATCCATGTTGCAGATCTGAAAGCTGCTAATCTGCTGTTCCACCCCTGGATTCACATCTGGAGCCAGATCCAAACATCTCTGTGCAGAGTCACTAAAACTGGACTCACAGAAGCACAAAGATAAATCTGAATCATTTTATGAACGGGGAAAGGCAAAACATGCACATGTTTAATCAGAGGAGACTGGTGACTGGGATAACTTTCACTTTAGTGCTCTGGAAGCAACAGGAGGAGACGAGGGACGCACGAGGTCGGCGAAACATACGACTGTGGCATCTCTGAAAATACCCACACTGCCACAGTGGATCAGTAATGTCACACATGTGGTGTTACTAATTCACCAGTGGGTGTTGGAGTACCTGGTAGTCCCAGGCCAGGCTGTCGAAGCCCAGCCCGCACCCAGTGGGATCAGCACACTCCAAATACAGACTGTACAGGTCAAAACAGGGCAGAATCCCAGTGGCGTTGTATACGATCGCTGAAAGAGACATACAGACATGTTATTAACCTTCGGAGCGAGAGAGATAAAGCAAAAGCCCAACATTGTTAAAAGTACCAAAGGTCCACACCGAAGGCCTCGTTAAGTGACATAAAGCTTTATATACAACAGTGATCAAATAAATTAATAACAAAAGGAATTTGAAGAACTCATCATGTTGTGGTGCAAACGTCATTGGTGAAAACCAGCAGCGAGGTTTGGTCCAGTTTACAGAGAACGGTCTGAATTATTTACTGAAAACAAAAAGCTTTGCTGCGTCTGCAGTGTCACATGGAGTGGGTGCAACGGGTGGTCCATGATGGACAGCAGTTCATCTTCTCAGACACCTCCAGATCCTGGACCACGATGCTTCTAGTCTGCCCCCTAGACCAGCGGTCCCCAACCCCCGGGCCTCACCCATGTGTTATGAATAAATCTTCTTTTTTTCGGTACCGGTACTAGTTTTATTTTGTTGTATTTATCCGCGACACCTTAAAGGCCGGTCCGTGAAAATATTGTCGGGCATAAACCGGTCCGTGGCGCAAAAAAGGTTGGAGACCGCTGGTCTAGACTCAGGCCTCTCCACCACATCATCAGCAAACCTGAAGCTTAGGTGCAGGTAAGCGAGCCAGTCTAAAGCAGGCTGCAGTGAGAAGAGGTGTTTGAACAATGGTTACATAATAGTGCAAGTTATTTAAGGGTTGGTTGTGCGTGACGCGGTCATTACAATCACCAGCCAATCAGGATGGGCAGAAATACGCAGGGAGGCGCATCCCATAGAGACACATGGAAATGAATGAGAAGTGCTACTTCCTGTGTTGTCCCTATGCTCTCTGTCCTGTCTCCTCTCCACTGTCTTAGTTGACATGTAGCCATTAGACTGAACGTCTCACCTGCCGTGTCTCTGAGGTTTCCCAGCAGGTCCGATCCTCTCAGCATGGTTTCACAGGCTACCTGGAAGACAAAGCTGTGTCACCTTTGTCTGGGGCGGGGCTTCTTGCTGGTATTAAGTTGTTCACAATGATCACCTTTACTCTATAATAAAACATTTCTAGGAGTGAGCTCTTCCATTATCATGCTCGCTGATATCAATGAAACGTGTTGGGGAGGGTATCCAAGCACGGCTCATTTAAATAACACAAAATCTTGCTCTGATGACAGGAAGCAGACGGCCTCATTGCATCTTATTATAACACTGTGGCTTCTGTTGGTGTGGCATACTTTGTAAATGTGTTTATACTCTAATGAAATCTGTCACCGGCCCTCAGAGAGGTCTTCTCCAACCGGTAGCCCTGACCAGTAACCGTGTCCTTGCTAGTGAAAGACTCTGACTATGGTCTCAGATTTCTCTGTGACAGTGTTATTTATAGCGTTCTGTCAAATTATAGTCTGGAAAAGACGCCACACGTCCTTCTCCAGTCTGTGTACCTTGACAGGATTGGCAGGCATGTTCCCCATGAAGTGAGTACTGTAAGGGTAGTCCAGCATGGCCATCAGAGTGAAGGCGTTCCTGAGAAAGCCATTGAGCTGGTGGATGTCCTGGGCAGATGATAGAGGCTTGCACAGGCCAAACGCTGATTGAATGTGACGATACTCTGGAGACAACAGAAGAGAGTTTTTCATTATCAGTTACTTTACTTTTTATTACAGGACTCTCCAACTACAAGTTACACCACATATTGTTTATCAGAAGTCCTCGACAAAGAGAAAATAAACCTTTTGTGCGATGTGCTGCTATAGCAAC